ATCTAGGGGAGTGGAGGCCAAGAAAGAAAACTGGTGGAGTTATGCATTAAAGTAGCCATATACATAGGGATTGGTTTACAAAGAGTTTGCCCAATGTACTGCTTGGCAAACACCATTCACACAGCATTACTGCCACTAGATGGGGCTAGGAAGCATAGGACTTTCCTATGCTCCTCGACTCCAGCTAGTGGCACTAATGCTTTGTGAATGGCATTCCCTTTATAAATAGCAGATAGTAAAAATATATCTCTAGCATATAATCCCTGATTAGAAGCAGAAGAGCACTTTTGCACAGGGACGGTGCCTGGTCAGCCTCCATTCTTTAAGGTTTACAGGAACCTATTGAGAGTTTGACATCATCAGAGGCATACCCTGCCCACTCTTGCCTTTGAACACTGGTTTACAATGATGGCGTCATCAGGGCACGGGGTCTAGGAACAGGAATAGCTGTTCAGTTGTAGCTTGTACACTAATATGGTAGCTGCCTAATATGGTAGATCTGGATAAATGAGTAGCTGCATAAAGGTGGCCATACACTCTACAACCATCGCAAGACTTTAGACGTGCGCACACCGGCCCGTTCAGCATTTATCTTCCGAGCACCGTTCTAACCAGCCGAGAATCGTACGATTCCTGGCTGGTTTTCGAACATGCTGGTTCGACAGAAGACTTTCTACTGTACGGTCGCACGTCTCCGTTCACACTGCTCGATTATCGTACGAAAAACCGATCGCATACGATTATCGTACGATAATCGTGCAGTGTATGGGCACCTTAACACCCACTGTCGGTGCTATATCACTTACAAATGATGTCTCTCGCACTGTTTGAAGGATGGAGTTGCCACGCCTAGGTCCGCTTTAATTGGCTTCTACTCAACGTTGTTCTTATAGAAACTGTGCGACTGTGATGAGGACTTAAGAGAACTATGGGCTAAGTGTTTTTCCCCATAGTTCTCTTAAGTGTCACAGAAGGACTTATACTGAGCTTTGGGTCACGGGAGGAGGTTAGTATATCGCGAGCTACAGCTCGCGGTATACTGAGACCGACGCAGCCGGGACAGATCCCGACAATGCTGTCGAGATCCACCCAGCTGCGTGAGTGACAGCGGGCTCTACCTGGAGGATCGGAGCGGGGAGGGGGGGGGAGCCCTGCAGGGAGCTGTGACTGACAGTCTCTGCAGGGAGATGATCGAGAAGTGAGCGAGCGACGGTATATGCGTTCGCTCATTTCCCAATCTATTGAGCCGACCGGTGACAGTTTCATTGTCACACGTCGGCTCGAACTATGAGGATGAGTGATTGTCACTCCCCTCATAGTTCTCCTTCAAATAGTAAAGTATGTCGCCAGCACACCGTGGTTACATCTTCAAGAAGTGATCATTTTATGGATGACCACGCATCTTGTCACATGGGAACGTTTCGGGGCCACTCGGGGTCCTTTCATCAGGCATGAAGGGACCCCGAAACGTTCCCATGTGACAAGATGCGTGGTCATCCATAAAATGATCACTTCTTGAAGATGTAACCACGGTGTGCTGGCGACATACTTTATTACTTAAATCTGAAGCGGCGCCACCCACAGTCACTACGGAACCCAGAAGGGACATACCATTAAGGAGTGCTATAGGACTCTCCTGGATTGTGACGAGGACTTGACACTGTATGCTGCTGTGGAATGGGGACTGGTTCTGTCCACTATGCAAAGAGCTGCAGAATACGGTATGTTGGTATTACTTAAATACAAAGAATAGTTAGGAATAGAAGAATGTAAAAAGTCCAGTTTATCCTAAAAAATAAAATAAAAATCATCAAATGCATTTAAATATAACCTTCCCACAATCTCCTGCACAGCAGAAATCAGACAAAGTGGGAGGTTATACACCACTGTCAGCCAATCAGGATCTACTGCATTGCACAGTGCTGCCCATCTCTTTCCAGGCACCAGGAGCTGGAGCAGGGGGTGTTTGGGCAGTTTACAGGAGCACAGGCAGAACCTCAGTAATATGAGGGAGCTTTTTCATAATCCAATGATCAAGCACAAGATGCTGAAGAGCTGCAATAGTGAAAAGTAGTGTCAGCACTCCCTGGCTGTGCAGTGTGGTACAGTAAATCACAAGAATGACTGAACAGAATCTAAAACTGACAGGTAAAATAATGAACATATACTGTGTATATATTTCAAGTATACATTTAGCTGCTTGGCTAGTTTCTGCACTAATTTTCATAAAAGACATGCCGGGTCAAAACAATATGGCTGCTTAAAGAAAAACTCCAGGATTTTTTAAAATTAACTAGGGCTGCGGAAATTAACGCTTCATTTCTCGATTAATCGTTAAACTTTTTGATCGATTAAAATGATTTTGATCAAAAATGAAAACACTCACCTCTCCACCGGCTTCCGGGAATCCCGTCGGAGATCCGGTGACGTCACGAACATCGACGTCACCGGACTCCTCCCCCCTTCCCCAAGTGGCTCCTTCGGCTAACGAAGGGGGGAGGAGTTCGGTGACGTTGATGTCCGTGGCGGCTAACGAAGGGAAGGGGGAGGAGTCCGGTACTAAATCGAAATTAATCGATTAAGAAAAAATTTGATTAATCGAACACGAAAATTTTAATCATTACCAGCCCTAAAATTAACCCTTGCAGTGGGGCTACCTCCGCACTGCAAGGGTTAACTGCTCATTTGTGTTTAGGTTAAAAATCAAACAGGTATACTAACCCAATGCTCCGAGCTGGCGTCTTCCAACATGTCTCCCCCTCCTCTGCAGCGGTCTAAGGTGCCGTAAATCATCACATCCATACACTGTGCATAGAAGCGAGGAAGATTACAATGCTGCAGGGAGGGGGAGACAGGCTGGAGGGATCGCTGCGACAGCTGGCCAGCTCAGAGCTTTGGGTGAGTATAATGTATCTTTGTTATTTTAGCACCTAGACACAAACGAGCACTTAACCCTTGCAGTGCACAGGTAGCCCCACTGCAAGGGTAATAAAAAAATCTGGAGTGCTTCTCCATAATTCGGCTAGTAAAAATAAAAGCAATCTGTGAATGCACAGTACGATGATTGTAATATTACTCAGGACTTTTGTAGGAGCTGTTTAGTCCAGTCTCAGATTTGGAATGTGATTCCCTTAAAAAGGAGCTGTTCAGTTTAAATGGAACTAGAAATGAAGGCAGGGGCGTCCCGAGGCCGGATGTCACCCGGAGCGGAGACCAGGTGACACCCCACAGTGACGTCATCGCGCAGTCGAGGCCATCTAATGGACGCCTGCCGACGGCCATCTTGGTGATGGACGCCGGCAGAGAGAGGAGGTGATGTTCACCCAGCAGGATGAGGTATGCCGCCGGGTCCCCTCCTCTCTCCTGACACTGTCGGGCTCTCGGTCCATGAGTGTCAGTCATTTTGGTGTCACCCCTCCAATGGTGTCACCTGGGGTGTGGGCCGCACCCCCCTTGTGATGCCACTGAATGGAGGTAATGTCTGCTTGGAATCCCTGCTTTTCCACACCTTCCCATACTACTGCATTCGTCTGCTTAAAAAGACCAGGGGCTATTGCTTCAGACTGACATGCAGCGCCACCTGCTGGTCAAATCTGATATTATCCTGCTCTTTTAGATCCCCTTAGTTAGCCATAAGAGTAAGTACCAATATTACAAGGGTCTTAAAAGTAACCCCACACCAAGAGAAGTGCAGAGCCTATGAATGCCAACCTCCTTCTGAAAATGCAAGCCCCCTGGTAGTCTTTGGCTTTACTACACAAAGACACAGACCTGGAACATGCATGCAGATCATCAATTTCACAGTCAAGTCAGGACGCCTAATCTGCATCCTCGTTTCAAGTCAGTGACTAAGCAAATACTGAAGCCAATGGATTGGCATGAAAACCAGGAATATTGTATTTTTAGAAGGTCAGCAAAGGCAGCCTCCACCATTTCTTTTGTTTCCTTTAAGGTACCTACAGACACAAGATGGCTGCATGTGCGGAATCCAGCCACCAAACCAGCTTTCTCATGAAAGATCATTCTTCAAACATACGTGTTCAGATCAGGCAAAGATGCAGAAGGGAAGTGGTGGCACTCAGGCAATAACACACAATAGTAACTGGTCAGAAAAATCCAACCTGGCCAATTCATTCTTCCCCTGAGAAGTCCTGGAGGCCGTAGTGGGTTTTCAGACATAATATTGTGGCAGACTTTCTTATGTCTGTAACCATCTTTACTGGGAGCTGACAGAGGGGAGACCTCTCTCTGTTACTACATGATGGGATTCCAAGCAGACGAGCGACTTCCATTTAAACTGAAACTCTCCTACGCAAGTTCTACACTAAATGGTCCAATTCTACGGGAGGAGGCTGCTCAAGGATTTAAGGCCCTTGGCTCATTATGAACGTCTAGTGGAGTTGAGGGCTGTGTTTAGAGTGAGACCTTATCAGGATTTATCCGTGTTGTAAAGGACTGGTTATTAGGGGAGGATCTTCCATATTGATTTCTATGGGTAGCTCTGTTAGTACATCCCCTAATAAACAGTCTGTGTCAGCTGAGGCTTCACACAGCTCTTGGCTTAAGGTGCCCACACACCTTGCGATAATCGTACAATAATCGCGGGAAATCCCGCGATCGTACGATTATTGTAAGGTGTGTGGAAGCCGTGCGGCCTCTACTACTGTAAGGTCGCACGACTTTTATCTTTCGAACATGTTCGAAAACCCGCCGAGAATCGTACGATTCTCGGCGGGTGTGTAGCATGTTCGGAAAATAAAAGCCGGACGGGCCGGTGTGCGCAAGCGCACACTGCCCGTTCGGCATTGCGGTCATCGGAACACCGCCCCTCAGCGGGGCTGGCTTGCAATCATCGCAAGTACGATCTGCCTGTCCAAGATAGGCAGATCGTATGTTTTTTTAATTACCTTACAACCATCGCAAGACAAAAGTCTTGCAATGGTTGTAAGGTGTATGCCCAGCATTACAAGGAAGTTAATATAATCGGGTCTATAAAATCACTGAACAAGATTGAAAAGAATTTAACAGTTTCCTAGAGAACCTTATCAAAACTCCCCACAGCCTGTGAGTGATGACCGGTGGCAGTGTCCTTTGTGTAACAATCGCTGTCTGTGCTCTCTCAGTCTTGTTTCTCTTCCTTCTGCTTCCAGGGGTAGATGACCTCCCCAATGAAAAGCTTCTTGCACAAAGATCCCCACGAGTCTTTGGGGTAACATCTGCTGGATGGGAGCCTGTAGGTGTCAAGCACTTGCCCATAGGGTAGCGGGTTAATCTGTAAAGGAAGCAGCATAGACTATTGATATAAGCAGTATTTGTGTTTCCCCACCCTCCCAAAGTACTGAGTTCACCTGAATAACAAAGCCCAGGATGTATGTATGTATGTATGTATGTATGTATGTATGAATACATTTATTAAAAGCTGCAGATAGCTGAGCATTGCCCATAGTAACCAGGAAACTTCCAGCTGTTGCTTTTCTAATACGAAGTTCCTGATTCCTGATATGTTTTTAAGGTTTACAGACACATCTAAACCAAAAAGCACAAATATAATATATCGCAGGTTGGAGACCCACAAGACATCCCTTATTTCCACCAAGGACAGAGTAATACAGTTCAAGATGTTCCATGATATAGATTATACCCCTGCTGAATTATATGCTCTGGGCCTTAGGTCACAATACACGTTTCAAGGGTTGCAATAAGGTGCCGACAGGTTTACCATTTCTGCCATCAAATTACTATCTTTATTGCCACCTCTTTTACGCTGCCAAACGTCCACTCCCCTGAAATATGTTTATCGGGCCTGTTGTAGGACCTTCTCCTAACTACATACTCAAAGAACTGATTAAGGATTTTATTCTTCTATGCTAAAAAGGGTATTCTTTGCAAAAGGAAAGACCTGCACCCTACAACTCTTACTACGTGGATGCAATTAATCAATTCCCACCTCCTCCCAATAACTTACACAAACAGGGGCTGCTCAGTCTTGTTGATAAAATTTGGGCAAAATGGGTATCCTCTCCTCTTACCGTAGTCAAATCTCCCCCGTAACTTCCCACTATGCCTTCTATACCAATGTCTATCTATACATTGTGTGCCCCTTCACCCGTTTCTGTGACACCTTGGATCTATACTGGTCTGTTTATTGCATACCTTCCCATATTTTACAACAGGCCATGTGACCAGCAATACCATATCACACAATGATGTCTTTGAACCGTGTTTATTGACCTGCGTTGCTTTTATTTTGCTTCTAATGCAAATATTATGTTATGAAACACACACACACACATATACATATATATATATTTGCAGCCTGCAAGTCTTTAGATGTGGTTGCTGTATTACTTTTCTGTACATTTTCTGCAAGTGCATACAAATTTCTTCTGATACTTATACTTGCCCAAATGCTCCGATGCCTAGCCCGATACTTTCGGTATCAGGAAGCCGGGCTACATGCTTGGCCAGAAAGCCAGCTACATGCTTTCTCATCAACTAGTGACGAGAGGCATGGGGACGGCTTTCTTGCTAATCAGGAAGCGGGGTGGCAAGTCTTTACATGCTGCCAGGCTAATCAGGAAGCCAGGTGGCAAGTCATTACACGCCTCCTGGCTTCCTGAATGAGACTTCCGGTACTCGGTATCGGCGAGTACCGGAAAAAAATACAAATCGGTACTCGTACTGGATACCAAAATATCAGTATCAATGCATCCCTAATTTTATACAATATATGCTTTATTTAATTAAAAATTTACATTTAGCAAGGATATATCAACCTCACCTCCATCAACAATCGAAGTGGCTTCCCTGTCTGTTGCTCCAGCATCTGGAATTTTACACCAGCTGCAACAGAGGTAAACTGGAATTATCACAGTTGGAAATACAAAGTATAAAGATAACATTTATCTAAGCACTTCACTGTCCTTCTCTGCTAAATTGTTTACTGTAACTTCAGATATCTATAGCCAATGTCTCCGACTCCAAGTACATGGGGCAGCCATATGGATCATTACATAAGTATTGCTGCACGGTGGCTGTGCTTCAATGTACCTTCTCTCAGTGCAGGTCTACGGGGTCAGGACTGACCCTAGGAGTCTACTAACCTATATTATATTCAAAATACAGAACAGCAGCTGTGTCAAAATGTAAAAGTTGTATGAATGCAGAGTGGCTTGTTAGTAACAGTTATACTTATAACTCAAAATGGACTTGAAGAGTATATCAGGGCACAAAATCCATTTAAACACGCTGCAAGTACAGAAAAATATCTGTTGATGTATCAGAAATATAGTTAGCTCCTACCTTCTTCTTTGACAGGACAACTTTGAATTCCTAAGCATGCGGTGTCAGCCCTGCCTACTTCTCATGGATTACAAAGAACACAGACCTCTCATCTCCATAACCCCCCCTCCCCTCCCCATCTCCATAAGCCTCTCCTCATTTCCAAAAATCCCTCAGAACAGCGAGTTATCACAAGATTTCTGGTACAATCTGCAGGCATATTTTTGATCTAACAAAACTCTTCCAATTGTATATTTAGCAGATAAAAAGGGAGCAAATAAGGGACGTTTACAGTTGGGGCTGAAATACACATTAAAAGAAGGACTTTGCTGAGAGAAATAGCGATTCTAGACCTTTCCTGGAAATGCTATTTGCCTGGTTGTCTTCTGATCCAGTGGCTTCAAACTTTCTAAGCTTGTGACCCAGAACTAACATACAGATCTGCCATTCTGGCTTCATGATGGCTTTACTGGCTGCATGCTTGCTACAGATCTGTGGAAGTATTGAAGTCAGACAGAGCTAGGCAACTAGTATTTTCAGTTGGACATTATTAATAGCAGATTCCTTGTCTACTTAAAGTGACACTAAACTCAGGAGTTAAATCTTAAAAATACATTCAAGTATCCCAACTATTAACAAAACTGTGCCTTACTTGTGTATCACTCGGCTGTAGATCCTCAAATCATCTCTGAATTGGTGCCGACACTGTCCTTCTTTCTGGAATGGGGCTACTTTTGTTCCCCATGGTCCCCGTGTGTGTTGTATAGTAATCACCGCTCCAAGCTTGCTCCCATGATGGACTACAATCTCATACTAATTTGTATTGAAGTTATAGTCTGTCACGGCAGTGAGCTTGGAGCGGTGACTACTTTACAACAAACACAGGGACCATGGGGAACAAAAGTAAACATCACAGATTTGAGGATCTACAGGCATAGTGATACACAAATAAATCATTTTTGTTAATACAGGCAGTCCCCGGGTTACGAACTAGATAGGGACTGTAAGTTTGTTCTTAATTTGAATTTGTATGTAAGTTGGAACTGGTAAAAAAAAATTTAAGTGTAACTCCAGTGAATTTTTGTTTTCGATAGTATAGGGAAGGGTTAACGCCCTGTAAAGTTTACTTTGCGGTGTGTGCCCCTGTTTAGAACACTTCACCTCACTTTCTGTCCCTGTGACAATTAGATTTTTACAATTTTGGGTTGTCGTGTAAACAAGGGTTGGTGATGAAGCTTCAGTGGAAACACCTTTTTCCCATGATAACTCTTGCAGGAGTGAATTTCCCTTCCTAGGGGGTAGATTTCCTCTCACTTCCTGTTGTTTTAAGGACAGGACGTGAGATTAAATCTTTCTAATGAGGATACAGACCACCGTCAAAATCTCACAGTGAAGAGGTGGGCACCCCTCGTCTGCACATCTAACACGAGCCAACTTCCTGTAATCTACGTACAGCACTACGAACCAGACCCAAAAAGGCGGGCACTCCTTGTCAGCACAAGTGAAGTAGCATTACAACTACTAGAACGCTGCGTGGTACACTTTGGCTGCAGCCTGGGACCCTCTGCTGTATAGTAATAGCCTCCGTTTGTAAGTAGGGGTTGTCTGTATGTCAGAGGTTTGTAACTCGGGGACTGTCTGTAGTTAAGATACTTGAATGCATTTGTAAGAATTAACTCCGGAGTTTAATGTCACTTTAAGCACAGGTTTCCTTTAAAGCAATAAAAGAACATACCTGCCAGTCGGTAAGAACGGCAGAGGCGCAATAGCAGTGCGAAGAAAGGGAGGGAGCTGAGCAGGTTTATAGTCATCTGGATGACACCTTGTACCATTATTACGAGCAGACGAAGCTGTCAGAGACAAGAGGAAATAAAGAGAGAGTTATATTGGAAGAAAAAGGAGGCAACTGTTGTTGCGTACACATCAGCATTGGCTTTCATGCTCAACTCTTACAGGTATAGCTGGAGATTGGTCTGTAGAGGCAAAACTCCCACTTTCCTCTCATTGTTCTGCTGATCTTGAAACGTAGAAATTATGGATTCTTTATCATCTTATTACCTTTTTGTTAAATAGAATATTCAATCCTTTTTAGAAATAATAGTGTCATTATGTTTTAATAGTTTGAGATTTTTTTTTAATTTTATTTCAATGGCCCTCAGAATATAAAATCTGGTACTGTAGCCCTGATAAAAGGTAGAGCCTGAACCCTGAAAAACATTGGCTGGATTTCTACTGATAATTGAATAAATCATTTTGGACTCTTTGGCCATTAGTGTGGTGTTTCTTGACTCTTGTATAGTAGTGAAGCCCATGACCAGCCACAGAGCTATCATTAAAAACAACCCAGCTCCGATTCCCAAATTATTTTTTCTAGCATGTGGAAATAGCCGTCATGTTCTGGGCTCTCTCCTCCCCAGATATTGTTAGGATTTATGAGAGAATGTTACAACTTCCTCCTTTAACTAATTTTAACCATAACACTTTACGTCACATCTCTTTTCCCTCATAGTCTCACTGTAATAAAACTTTATGGCATATTTTACAGTTCTATAGGCTGTACTATCACTTCTCATCATTGAAACCATATACACAGCTAGCATGCACTTTAACATATATCCACCCAATGCTAGTATTGATTTTACAGTTTTGGGCTAACTAAGTGAACCTGTAATGTCCTTCATAGTGTATAAACAAACATTAGTGGTAATATTCTGGCACCTGGAGGAGCCTACAAGTAAAAGGGAGGTTAAAAACCTTGTCAGGTTTTGTTGCTGTCTGGTGTACCATTGGCGTGATCTCCTTTTATTTCTGTATGGGAGACCCAACATGAAGTGAATGGAAATCTTTCCAAAACTTTGTTTCAGTGGCAATTGTACAATTTTGAATTATCTATTACTTTCCATCCCGCTAACAAGGGTCACCAGGACAGATGCAGAGGCTGAAGCTTCCCAATAGTTTCTAACCTCTTTATATAGGGGGAGCTCGAGATACCTTTTTAAGCAAAAAGCAGTTACAATTCCTAACAAAAATGACTGCCACCCCCCACTTAGCCCTGCCCCTGACATTCAACTGATAAATGTCAGAATCTCTACTGATCACAGACGCTTGTATTTTAGTTTTGACTGTATTAAAGCAGTTGCAACATCCACAAGCTCACTCGCCAGAACCGACACCCTTGCCTGGTCTTCTTCCTAGTTCAGGATATTCTGCTATCTAGATTGGCCATGATGGGAAGTAGTAACTCCTGTGCATGCACGAGTGTTCTTTCAACCCAGCATATGCTGAAATTGTACACCGAGCCGTGTATGCGGAGCACAATGTAGACTGTCAATACAAAGGCGAACAGACAGGTAAGAGTCCTTTATTGTAGTAATACATAATGGGGGGGAATTTATCAAAACTGGAGCAAACAGAATCTGGGACAGTTGCTAATGGCAACCAATCAGCATCTCTCTTCAGTTTGCTAAGGTAAGATTTGAAAATGAGAGGAGGGAGGGAGGGGGAGAGAGAGAGAGAGAGAGGGGGAGAGAGAGAGAGAGAGA